GCCAATTTTTCCACTTCTTGATCTACCATATCAAGGCCAAGATATACTATTTATACAATTATACATGTTGGTCAGGCACACATATAACGCTAATATGTACAAAAAATGGGCATGTATGTGGGGCCTACTCATAGTAAATGTATGTGAACCTATACATGGTAAATATACATTAAAAATGCATTAGTTTGCCCCACACATAACATTCCACAAAATCAACACTTATTAAGTGTAATACATATTTTCATCACATTGCTAAACAATTTCCTAGATTTTTAGTCTTTTAAAAAATCTATGATAAATGTTTCAATCAAACAGTTTTTTGTCTTTCAAGATATATTTGCAATAGCTCATCATGTCTTTTCACTCTTAGATCTACAAAAAGATCCTCTGAGGAAGACTCACCAAATACAACCTTAGTTTTCCTACCCAAGATATATCTCCTTAGACTTGCTTCACGTAGAGTTTGTCATTATGTATATTTACAAGAGAAATTCCTTCCCTTCTTGTTAGTAGTGGTTATTCATTCATATTTTAAAACCATAGCTCGAATCAAAGTATTTGATACTCTTAATAAGCAAAAATTGTGTCCTGAGAGTTTTGGTACAAGTGAATAATTCTTTCAATTAACCTTGTGACAGGCCATTTATTACATAATTAGTAACATTTAAAACAATTCAAATGTCCCAATCTTCAACTCCTAATATTAGAAAGGGAAAATTTCTTAAACTACCCCTAAGGTTTAAAAAATTGACTAACACTAAATCTTCCTTACCGTCTGTATCCATTAATAGAAAGATTAAAAAGACTATTTTGCCCATCATTCTTCTTTAGTTTTTCAAAATGAAACTTTTTACACACCTCTCTCTGGGATCTACTTTCAGAGCCCTGCATCATTGGTCTCAACTGAGAACCTCTCGACCGAGAGGTCCGCATCATTGGTCTATTCGAATCTTGCAATCACCAGTGATTGGGTCCACTTTAGTGGATTTTTTGATTTTTGGCAGAACAATCCATCATCTACTTTCCTCTTCGGTCCTTCTGCCATTTCAAAGATGAGAGTCTGCTATGCTCTTTGGTCCTTTCGCCATTTTAGAGATGAGGCAGGAGAAGAAAGAGATCCCACTTCTTTAGGCATCTCATAGTGGCGAATCGAATGGGACGTTAGCGGCAAACCACCCTATTATATCCCTCTCTTGGCCATCCATCAATTTCCCCTCCCCTGTTATCATCTCTATTGGCCACCGCCGCTACAATCTTTAACATCGGTGGTTTTCTTCTTCCCCACCACTCTCTCAGTCTCTCCGTTCTTCCCTTCCCCTGTTATCATCTCTACTAGCCACCGCTGCTACAACCTTATGGTTTTCTTCTTCCCTCTCTCTCTCTCAATTAATGAAACAATTAAGGGTACTCGTAAAAAAACTTATGCTCGATTGAATCTCCTAGCATCGGGGGCATGATTTTTGGAAGAATATACCAAACATTTGGTGGCAAGGTACCGAAACTGGAGGTCATGGAGGACAATATGGGAAGCATTGAGGAGATGGAAGGCCCAGAGGTAATGACGACCTAGGTAGAGAGCCTATGCTTGCATATAGATGTTGGCAGGTTCGGATGTAAAGAGTTCACATCTCCGCCCCAGAAGGGGCCACCCCACAATGCCCCACACAACATCCCCGTCATGTATTGGGAACATCTCCTGATGATGACATCATTGGTTCTAGTACTATCATCGGGAGATGTTCCCAATACACAGCGGGGATATGATGTAAGGCGTTGTGGGACGACCCCTTGTGGGGTCGAGATGTGAACTCAAATGTAAAGGCAACAACCTTATCCATGAAGAAGATGGCTAAGGAGTACAAATGCTTGCCAACATAGTCTCTCACCATGCCTCGAAGCTTATCCACCTCTTCCTCTCTCATTTTGGCGAGTTGAAACCGAATAATTTTACAGAAGCTACCCTGAAGATTAGAGATTGCAGGGGTAAAGAGACTTGTGGATATCAGGGGAGGTCCCAATGACAAGAATGTTTGGTTTTGGTCTCTGTTTGTGTATGGTATGGACCAAAGTTTATAGTATCGGAAATGCAAGGTGTATTAGAAAGACAATTTTAAGAGACGTATCGGGATATGCTTTGGATACGTATGGAACGAATGAAAAATCAAGATATGCATAATATGGTAAAAAATTCAAATAAATTTTAAAAAATATATTACTAACTATTTTTACAAATTTTATATGATTGTAAATAAATAATTTAAATGTAAAAAAAGCATAATTTAATGGTTTGTATAAAGTGTGATGTACCAAAACACAATTAATAACAAAAAATGATGGAATAACTAAAATTAAAAAAAAACAAAAAAACTAAAATGTGAATGTCAATTTTCAAAAACCAATATAATTGATCTTAATATTTATTAGTATATAAATTTTAATAATTAATTCTAGCATTTATTAGGCTCAGTTTGAAAGAAGTACAAATACAAATATGTAGAGTGCAAAACCTTACATTTTCTATTTGTTTGTATGTATTTGTACCCTACATATTTGCATCTGCACTCCTTCTAAATTGAGGCTTAAGTGAAAATTTACTTAAAACTATATATATCATAGTAAGCAAATATGTGTGGCTCATTGGCAAACTTGTGGTTGTGAAAACTTAAAATCAAGTGACCAAAGTTCGATTCTTGCTATAGCTAAAATTTGAAGTTGTTACACTAACAAAATGAAATTAATGATAGGTATCATCAATTAAAGGAATTAATGAGAGAATTTGAATTAGGCACTAAAATTCAAATTTCAATTTAAATTTGCCTTGGAGTAATTGACTAATTAATGAAAGAGAAATTAGACTTAAATAAACAAAATTAATGAGAGATTCTGTATTAAATATGGATTAACAAATAACGATACAAATCCAAACTATATTGGATTGTATTAGGCTTGTATCGGTCGATACGGATCCGAAACATCCCGATACGGGCTCATATCAGTTGATACATACGAAATGAAATGAAATGTATGGTTTATACACGTCCTACATATTGGATTCTTGTTGGAACAATACATTGCGATATTTTGAACCTTGGTATGGACTATGGATAGTGTTACCGGGAGTAGGGCTGTTCATAACAAGATCCATACCGACCAACTCGGTCTGATCCAACCCGAGTTGGCTAGTTTTTCTTCAGCACCGGTTGGTTTCGGGTTACAAGAAAACATAAACTGATGGTTCGGTTCGGTTTCGGTTTTCATGTGTGAAAACCAAAACCGAACCGACTTAGATATATATTATATATATAATATATTTCAGATATTATATATATATATATTTGATATATATATATATATATATATATATATATATTATATTTTAGCTTTGATTCAGAAATATACATATTATACATAAAATATCAGTTTTAATCCATCAAATCATTTTTACATTCCAAGCATCTAGCGTTTGCTTTCTTAAACTTGAATCCTTTACCGTTCACACTGAGAGAATCATTCACAAAACTGACCCAAACCAACCCAAACCGATTCAAACCGACCAGGTCGATTTTACTTAGTACTGGGTCAGTTTCGGTTTCATTTCTAAGTAAATTGACCAGGTCGGGTCGGTTGGAAAAACGCCAGTAAACCGACCCAACCCGACCCTTGAACAACCCTAACCGGGAGTGTGGTTTTGATCTCTGTCCGTGTTTGGTGTTTTCCGGTCTGTAATCTTGCAAACGAACTCCTTGCAATTTTGAGGTTAAGATGTATATGTAAGCTCAAAGCTAGAGTCCCACCCCAACCGACACTAGTAAAAGCTAGGTCGGTTCAAGCGGTGGGAGCTTTAATGGCACTGTGGTTTGAGTAGAGAAGACAATGGTGTTTGTCGAAAAAGGTATTTTGGGTATATTTTAAATTAAATCGAACATGTAAAGTCATGTGTAAATGGTCTATGACGAAGACTTAACAAGAAGTTGTGCAACAATTGTCGGAAATAGTAGGGGGAAAAAACTTTAGCTGTTGAGACAGTTTTTTGGAAATGCCACGTTACCATGAGAATGGGTAAATTAGTAATTACATCTCAATTTATTTTGACTAAATACCAAAACATGGGCATGAATAGGTGAACTGTCCAGAATGTGCCCAGCCCAGAAACTGTCTCAACAACCTATGCTGTTGGGCCCCAACAGCCAAAGTTAACCCTATTGTGCTTTAAGACAATACAAAAACAGTAAGGGTATAGTTAGTTAATTTCTTAAACCTCAAGGGTAGTTTATGAAATTTTTCCTATAAGAAATACAAATGATTTTGAAAACAGATCAACTGGTCGTGTTTATACTTACAAAATTGTGTTTAAAGTCTCAATACACACCATATAATTTATATCAAATTTTGAGCAAACAGGATTTTCTACTCACTTTTCCTTCCCACTCTCTACCCGCTGTGAATTGCCAGTCCGGATCTCCTACCCACGAGAACCCTGCCCACGTTTATCACAACGACACATAGAGAACATCTCATCCCCTGCCTAATGCAGGGGGCGATGTTCCCAAGAATGCTTTGGCACGGTCAATACATGAACCATGTTTAAAACCTATGCTGACTTTTTCTTTTCTTTCGATATGAATGCTTTCATTTTCTTAATTAATGATTCTAATTCTTTTTTCCATTTTACAAGTCTTGATGTACCCTGCATAAACATAATGTTGCAATTGAAATACGTTCTTCGTTGATTTTGTTTCTTAAAATCTAAAATAAAATATATTGCTTATTATGTCTCACTTAACCATCTATGTATGTGCTGAGAATTTAGCATTCAAAATAAGGAACCAAACATGCCATACCTTTGATAAATCGTGTTGTATTCAAGGCACAATTAAATTTTTCCAAGACTGGCCACAAGCCCACAATATGACTCCATAGCAGTTAGCACCAATGTTCTAGAATACCCTGATATGGATAAAACCAATACGCAAGAAATTCTATTGAAAACTGGTAAACACTTTCCTTTAAAAATATTTAATTGATTAATCAGTTAAATAACTTTTAGTTATGTTACATCAGAAAACTGAACAGGGAACTGTTAAATGGGATTCCCAACATTCAAGAATCAAACTCAATACAATTAATTACTTTTTTTTTCCCGAGAGAACCCTACAAATTAGAGCAGGAAAAGATAAAGGCAAGAACAGAAATTGATTTTTATATACATGACATCAAATGTTTATCTTTTGCATCAAGTCAAAACAACCTGTTCCCATTTTAACAGGCAGACCAAGGCAAATCCTGGCAGATGGGGACTCCAAATTGTCCATCTCACCATGATATGCTGCTTCAATTACGAACCTCGATGCTGTCTCATATGACATCTTGCTGAAAGGTGAAATGGTTTCTGCAATCCCAAACCTGCTCATTGGGCGGTATCCACCAGTCTGTGTCATGAAATCAGCAATAAGACTGAGATGCCGGATGTTAACAGCAATCCCATAACTCTTGAAGACCTGATTCACCTGCTCTATGATGGTTGCTCGGGCAGCTTCTACTCCATAGGTATTGAGTACAGCATGAATGTCATTGGATTTTAATCTCCTGATGTCAAGGTCATCCTGCATGTTCCAAAATGTTGGGAAGTCCACTCCAGAAGTCTGTAATTCTGGAATTTCTGGTTCGCCATCTGCTTTCTTAGGAACAACCACTGAACACAGTTCAATATTTCCAGACCTCTTAACATAAACGTTCTTGGCTGTCTTCTGGGCAATCTGCAGGCTCATTCCACCAAAAAGTGAGTTTTCTTTCAATTATATTTCTTGTAGAGTACAGAGTGAACTCAATCAGAAAGAGATTCGAGTGCCATAGAACTTTGAGCCTAATGGATTAAATCTGGCATGCGGTTAAGATATTTAAGAGACTGAAGACTGAAGACCAATCACCAGACACCAATACCCTTCAAAAAAAAGATGATATCCTATGCAAGATGTGAAAGTAGAAAGAAGCAAACCACCAAGTGCATCGAAGCTGTAATGGGAATAGCAAGATCTTTGATTCAAGTATGGCAAGATTCAGGGCACTTCTGGTGGCAAAAATACCTAAGTTTGTATTGGGTTTGATAGAAAATAAAAGAGAGAAAATTGAGGCAAAGTTAATAAGAAATTTCAAATATATCTAAAGGTCCAAATGACCTACAGGACCGGTGACAATAGTGATGGACCATTAGGAAAATGTCTACTAATCCAGTCGAGCATAAAGAAACCCAACATGGTGTCCCCTACTTTTGCCCCAAGATGATGTCATAGATCCAGACCGTCCACCAGGCAGGGGACCTTATGGATTGACCCATTTTAAACCATTGGTCCATCAAACCTAAAAGTTTTAATTTGTCAATATATACTTGCCAATGGAAGGACATTTTGAAAACATGACTAGGTTTTACGAGCTCAGTCTTGCTACAAAAATACCAAATTGAAAAAGGAACATGAGGAGTTATTTTGGGATCCCAATTTATTAGAAGGTTCTTGGGTCATCTAACGAAGCTCAGCAAATGCCACTTCCACCACCACCGCCATCATAATCAAGGGAAACTTCCCCACACGACCTATTCTATTTCTGAAATATGGGTGCATGATACATCAGAACTAAGCTGCTCATTGTGCAGATAAGCCCTTAGAATGGCCAGGTGTTCAATCCTCCAGTCTTGCTGTTTCCCCAACAAATACTAGCCACTCAAAGTAATGATTTCTTTTTACTGAAAAACTTGCCCCAAAAATAAGGACTTGCAATTGATATGTGGCAAGCGCTTCATGGCTGGAACTATCCACATGGAAGATTCCTAGGTTATCCAGTGAAGTCCCCTAAATGACCCAAAAGTGACTAGCAGGCCACTAGCACTATTAGTGGTAGTAGCAGCTAGCAGGCTACAAATTTATGCCCCATGCAGCTTAGAAATGCCCTCTACACAACAAAACATCTGGATGTTGTGTAAAAACCACCAGAAATGAAACAAATATTCCACTTGAGTAATAATGCCCACGCCAATGGTAAAGAAACTAAAATTGTATCCTATGGCATTGAAATGGAATAAAGAAAACAGGCAACAGGGTATCTACATTTAGTTTGCCAGACAAGAAAGAAAAAAATTATAACTTATGAAGTATGTGCGCAACTTATCATCATGAAATTTGAAAGCCAATTGCAGCTAAATCTAGGCAACATGGTTTCCTTTCTGGTCTTGGAGTTGACACAGCCAAATTTGAAAGCATCCAGCCTAAACAGACCGAAGATGAAAGAATATGGTGTTGGCGCTCCTCAGGAAAGTTCTCCTCTCAGTCTTTCTACATTAACTTGCTACCGTGTGAGGGTATTGACTTCCCTTGGGTCTTGATCTGGGATTCTCATTCCCCTTCCAAGGTTTCTTTTCTGATTAGGACTACAGTTTTGGGTCAATGTCTTAGCATTGACTGGCTGCTGTTCAGAAGGGGGATGCTACTATCGAACATCCTATGCCCCCTTGGCAATGAAGTTCCTGAATCCTCCAACCACCTTTTCCTCCATTGCAGCTTCTCTTCCCAGCTGTGGGTTTAGGATTTTTCCTGCTTTGGAGCCCAATCTTGCCTTCCTAAATCAGCTCTTCAGCTCTTGCAACGATGGTCTCTCAAGGGCCTGGCCACTAGGGGCAAACTGCTTTGGAGGATCTTCCCATCTGCCATCCTTTGGGCCCTCTGGAAGGAAAGGAAGAGCCAAACCTTTGACAACACTTTGTCTGATGTAGCTTCAGTAAGAAACAAGGTTATAGGTTTTTTGTGTTCTTGGTTAAGTGTACAAAGGGCATTCAGGGGTGTCCAGCTTTACTCTTTTTTGCAAGCTGGACCTTTCTTTTGTTGACACTTTTGTATATTCCCACTGTACAGGCTCTCATTGTACATTGGCTGATACTTTTACATTAACACAATTCAATACCTTGCCTGTTTCAAAAAAAAAAAAAAAATCTAGGCAACAGGGGCAATGCTTTCCATTTTAAAAGAAGTCCATATTTAGACTTCAAATTGCAAGAAACAAAATGCATAACATATGACATATTTTTCATCTGAATGGAAATGCTGTTAAAACTGAACAGAAATTAAACCAGAAAGTTGTTCATGTCAAGGTATACAGGTTCAATTGATAGTTTATCAATTCAGCCCATCTATAATGTCCAAAACGGAAACTGCACATGCCATCTGGGTCACCATTTCAACTGTCTGGTTCAGGTCTAACAATACTAGTAAAAAGCTTACTCCAACAAAATCCATGTATTACCTATGTTACTGAGATATGACAAAACACAGCTAGAAAAATTGTCTCATAGGAAATTTATACTAAAAACTGAAGTTTCAAACATGAAATGCCAACCTTATCTACCTTTCTGGGTATTATGGTACATACATATCTGTGAGTTAAATGATATATTGAAATTTACCTGAGCCAGTAAAATATGGGGTTCGTTGGTAAATCTAAAATGCACTTCAAAATCCAGTCCTTCAGCCACCATGAAGAATGCTCTGTCACTGTCCTTTTTCGTTCGCCTTGTCATTCCTCTAGCATCTGCTTCATCTTTTCCGCCGCTTGATTTTGATTTGGAGACAGTCCCATGTTGTGATGGGGTCTGAGAAGCCTCATCCTCAGCATCAAATACCTGAATTTCACCATCCATAATATTCCCGGCTTCAACCTCAGCTTGATCAATTTCGCTTTCAAATCCAGCTGAGGCTTCTATATCACTACGCCCATTTTCAGTGTTAACTATTTCATTTTCCATATCATCCTCATAATCCATCTCATCTGTAGCTTGCCTTTTTCTTTTCTGTGCATCTGCACCTAGATCATCAGGTGCTTCGTAATCATCATCATCACCAGCATCATCATTTTCTTCAGCTGCTTGAGATTTGCTGGTAGGACCATCTTCATCTGCCCCATCTCCAGAATTTGACTGTGTGCTGTGCACCACATTCGTTATGCCTCTGATTTTCGACAGCATAAGTAGATGACTTTGTATTGCATCTTCCATTTCCCCAACAAAAACAAATTTCAAGGTTGCTTGACAGTCTTTTAAAGTTATACCCGAATATGGAGGATATAGTTCAGGTGGATAGAGCTTTAGCTTTAGCTTATAAACAGTGGAAACTTGGTGTTTCTTAACAGAGAATGGCACTACACCAACCTCCATGCTCTCAATCACATCTGCTACAGTGACCTTCTGTAATTTTGCAGCTAGGCGCTTAGCATCATCCCTGCACCAATAAATATATGAGAACCTTTTGTGTAACAAATAAATATATAAAAAAATTGCAGTCTTCATATAGTGCACCCAAAGCGAAAGTGGTTTCAACCCTAAACTGACCTGAGTAAAAAAAGATGGAATACAGAACCCAACCAACCTGGCCCACATACAGTGCATCTATACTCAACCAAGGCTATCTCTAAAAATGTTTCAATGCTGCAATGTCAATTGATTGGTTTTGGTAGGGATTCACCTCAACCTCATTATGGTTGACCTGACCCTAACCCAAAAGAGTTGTGTCAATGTGGATTTGCCATTAAACCCAATCAACTGACATCCCTAGGGTTGAGTAAATAGGTAAACCCAGGGGAGGTCTTAGTATTTTGACAGAAGCCACAGGGGAGGTACAAGTAACTTACCCTTCCTTTTACAGCAGAAAAGATAAAGGAAATGAAACAATGAAAGGGATAAAGGTGAAAGGTGGTCTCTAAGGAAACAGCTGGAAGATATTTTATTGAAATAAGAGATAAGTTGGAGACAGAGATCAAGAATAACTGGCTTAAGGAGGGAGATAGAAATACCAACTTTTTCCATACTTTGTCCAATGGGAGGAGGAAAAATTGTCCCCAAGTTGGTGGTAGGAGATATCACTTTGTCTACTCATAATGAGATTGCCCAAGCCTTTGTGGATCATTTTTAAGTCAAGTATTTAGGAAACCCATGGATAGAAGAATGTGGATTGATGGCTTGGATTGGCCTAAGCTAACAAAAAATCCTAAGGCAAGGTTGGAAAGGAATTTTGAGATTGAGGAGATTAAAGAGGCTGTTTTTTCTATGGATAGATCTAAAGCCCCTGGTATGGATGGTTTTATGACGGCTTTCTACCAAGATTGCTAGGAAGTATTAAAAAATGATTTACAGAAAGTCTTTAATGAATTTTTTGGGAGAGGTTTAATCAATTCGGGGCTCAATTCCATATTTATTGCTTTAATCCCCCCCCCCCCCCAAAAAAAAAAAAAACAGATTCCGTGCACCCAAAGAATTACACTCCAATTAGTTAGACCAATAGTTTGTACAAAATCATTGCTAAGGTGCCCTCTCAGAAAATTAGGACTGTTGTACTTTCATTGGTATCATCAGATCAAGGGGGCTTCGTCAAGGATAGACAAATTATTGATCAGATTTTGATTGCCAATGAATGTATTGAAGAGATAAAGGGATCAGGAAGGAAGGAGCTGATTTGTAAATTGGACTTAGAAAAGGCTTATGATTTTGTTGATTAGGGTTTCTTGGTGAAAGTAATGAAAAATTTTGGGTTTAGTGAAAGATGGTGAAAGTGGATCTTAGGATGTATTAGGACATGCCATTACTCAATTTTGGTTAATGGAATTGTGGCTGATCATTTCCAAGTTATTAGGGGAATTAGGTAAGGGGACCCCCTTTCCCATTCCTGTTCACTTTCCAAGTCATTCCTGTCCTAGGGAGATTGATCACTAGGGCTGATGCTTAGAATCTAGTGAGGGGTTGGAAAATTGGTCGAGAGGAGATACCTATGACATATAATATACGTATAAAATATATGTTACAATTTATATAGTATGAAAGATTGTATATCTAATATATATATATATATATATATATATTAAAGGAAGGTCTTCAGGCTACAGCCCCCCACCATTTAGACATGTGGCCTTTTCATTTTTCTGAAAATCTAGACACGTGGCATTTAGAAAAGTGGCCTTTTCATTTTTTGGAAAGCTAGACAACGTGGAATTTCTGAGAAATTCCTGCCAAAGCCCACAACCCACTACCAAGCTACAGCCCCCGACCATTTAGACATGTGACCTTCACATTTTTCTGGAAAGCTAGACATGTGGCATTTTCTGAGAAGTTGCTGCTCTCACAACCCACTACCACCATTCAGACACGTGCCATCCTATTAATTCAAGAAATAGGATTCAAAAAGTGGATAGTTTCACTCCTAATAACTCTCAATAGACAATTATTTATTAGCTTAAAACATGTTTATCCAGAGTCTATCAAATACAAATGGTGGGACACATTAAAAGATTACCATAAACACACGTTTCTTTCTAAATGATTTTTTTTTTAAAAAGAAAATACTTTATTAATTACAAACTTGATTTAACTTTTAGGAAGCAACCTAATTTAACTTTTAAAATAAATAACTCAAAATAGGTTTATTAGATAAATAGTAAATATCAAATAAAGTGGGTTATTGCTTACCAATAAGATCTCATTTAATATCTTAAATAAAATTAAAAAAAACATAAATTAATAGTGGGTTTCAAATAAAATAGGTCATAATAGATTGTCAATTACAAAGATGTAAAACCCGTATTAGGTTTTCTAAATTAAATTTTTGATAACTGAATAGCAAACTTCAAAAACTAATTGTGCATTAAAGTTAAGTAAATTACCAGAATTTATTGTAATTCGAAAATCTATTATCACAACAATACTCAGTAAATAAATGCTGAAAAATAATAAAAATATAAGAAAATCATCATCACCATTACTAATTAAAAATAATATTAATCGTTAATTAAACAATTAAGTAAACATTACATTTTGATTAATCTTTAAATTTTTATAGTAAACATTTTAATTATAATACCGATAATAATTAATTAACTAAATATTACAATACAAATAATCTTTAAAAAATATAGAAATAATAATAAAAAGTTAGACATTTTTGGTTTAAACAAAACGAAAATTATCAAAAAATGCTAGCCCCGTACTTAGTATGGGGTCATTCTCTAGCTATATATTATAAGTATTATTTTATAATATTTTTATACATAAATAAAACAGAAAATAATATAAAACATATATAAGTATATAATTGTTATATAAATAATATATTGTGGGCCAAGGTGAAAGTGATCCATCCCTAATTCTAACTCCTAAAACAACTCTAATAACATTTTACTAAAACTACAAAAACCAATTTAATGAAGATGCCAAAATCACTAAAATTAGAAAATCGCAATTTTACTATAAATAGTAATGATGTAAAAAGCTATAAGTAATCCATCCAAAAGATAAACCATAAATAGTAATTTTAAAATAACAATAAATAATCTATGAAGAATCCATCTTCATTGATTTTTCCCTTATTTATCTGCACCAACAGATCAGAAGAATTATCATTCATCCCTCTTCAACCACCTCGACAAAATGTTGGGCATCTTCCATCACAGAGATCTTTTGGTCTAGTCAGCCAAAATGGGCAAGTGTCTAATGAGAGACAAGACAAAATTAGAAGATAATGATCTCAGTACCAGGCTGTGTCTTCTGTTCATAGGAAATTGAAGCAACAGATCACATTCCTACATTGCCAAAACTCAGTTCCAAACTTTTTGTATGCTTCTGTACCTTGATAAATTTTAATTGAAAGTGCCCAGGAACATTGGTGGAACTATTGCAAAGACGGAAAGGTGAGAGGTTTAAACAATTTTTGAATGAAATGTTCTATAGAAGAGATGGTAATTAGGACAGCACCCCCACCAGGCTTTCTATGATAAAAATGTGAATTTTTGGCACAGATATTGATGAGGCATCCACAACTGAGTTTCTACTGTTGTTTTCTTTTTTTTTTTTTTATTGCCAGTTTTGTTACTGCTCAGTGACTTGTAAATGAGAATGAGTTTATACCTGTATATGCCTGCATGATTAGGGCCAATAACATAACACTTTTCCGTTTCCCAAAAAAATTTCATACATTTACCTTCTCAAATAAAGTGTGCATCAGAAAGTCTTTGCTGCCAACAATTTTTTTTTTTCATTTTTACCCTCTACTTTATACCTTGGTAAGAATTTTCAGGGGCCATTATTTGGAATAACATAAACTCTCAAGCTGACAAGCATGGGGAGCACGGGCTCAACTCCAAGAGAAGAGACTTTGTGCAGCATATCCCAAATGTTAGGTGCGTTGAAATGACGCATAATGAAATGTTTATTTTTCTTTTTTTATACATTGGCTAAGTTGGGGAAAAGTGCAAATACATACATTTAACTTCCCAGAAATATAAGAAAAGTAGTACTCTGTAAATGTATTTGGGCGCCTAGTCATGGGCTTCTTTGTAAGTTTATTCATAATGTTTAAATGAAGTCTTCCTATGTGTGAACAGTAACACACCTAATCTTCTCGACATAACTTCTTCTTCTTCATAAAATATCTTCTAACTTGGTATAAAAGCAATGTAAGATCAAGGAAATCATCTACTGCTGGTTGTGACTCACAAACAGACCCGCTAATGTCAGCAGTCAGTACAGTTGGTGGCATCCTTATGTGTTCTTAATGCACATTGATGTGCCTTGATTTTTTTAGAGGAATTTTGATATAGGTTGAAGCTATTTGAGATTTTTGGGAATTTCTGGATAGAAATTGGCAAAAAACCCAGATCTGGAGTTTAGAGCTTGCATGCTCATACGGTGGGTTGGCTTCCATTAGAACCTGTTGTTTTTGAGTCATGGGAAATTTCTGACACTGTAGGAAGTGGTCCTCGATTTTTTGCTACCAACATCTATTTTTCCCTTGTTTTATTGTTGTAACCCAATTCAACCTTGTGGTGTTGGGATATTGTGGTGTTGGTGAGAAATTTTGTTTTGGAAGGGGTTGTGATTGATGGACTCACACAAAGAAGTACGCGTGCCTACCCATGTCCACCCAGGAGGTAATGATAATGCCAGAGATAAGCTTACAATTGGTGGAAGATAATCTGCTGTATGCAGCCACATATTATTGCAAATAATATGCTCTATGGGAGCAAGATAATGCCTGAAGGTCCAAAGTATTCCAAATGGGAGCAAGATAATCTGCTTTCTATGTCATGGCTTGTATACTCTATGCAGCCACGCATCACCCACAAATATATATTCCTTTCAACAGCCAGGGATATTTGGGACAGGTTAACTACCACTTATTCTCAAGCTAAAAGCACTGTTAGAATCTATAAGTTGCGAAGAGAAGAATGTAATGTG